TCGGATGCGGACCAAGCCTAAGCTCGTGCGCTAGGCTGCTACGCGCTCTGAGTCCGCAGGAGGAATAGAGTGAAGCTTAGTCGATATTCGAACTGACTATCTACGGTACAGTTCGACGGTTTATATGTACAAAAGAGAACAATGGTAAAGTCGGAGATGTCGGAGATCGGAGGCGCCGTTCGGCGCACAAAGGGAACATTCGGAGACAAGAGATATCGTATGGAACACAAAGGGAACATATCTACGGAAGAGGCGGAAAGATCGGACCGAAAGATCCGTCGCAAGCGACGGGAAACTAAAGTCTACAAAGGGAAGCTATGATGTCAGACAAAGGGAACAGGAAACAGGAAAATCGGAGTTGAATCCGTTCAAGATCTGGAACCACCGGGGCGTTGAGCCGCCGGTGGCCCGGTGCATGTGATAGGCGTATCCCGCCCTCGACCGAAACGGGAAAGTCGGGATCGGCGTCGGTGAAGAAGTCGGCGAAAGGTCGGAGATCGGATCGGAGGAGATCGGTGTAGATCGGTGACGATCGGCGGAGCGGATCGGCGTAGGTCGGTCTGGATCGACACGTGACAAACTCGAGGTAAGATATAAAACCAAAAGGTGAAGGTCCTCGCGACGAGGCTGCTTGTCTTTTATACCTCGTCGCGAGCCCTTGAGCATATGGAAGTGGAGCAAAAGGATCAAACAGTCAAAAGGCGCATCAGCGCCGGATGCTAGAAAAGGTAAGAAGTTCTCGGTCTCAGCCTTCGGCAGAACCGGCACGTAACATCTGCCCTCCCGAAGTGGAAACCGCTTCGCCCAACAAGGTAATCCTCCGCCTTGATCCCTCGACTACACTCCCCGGCGCGTATTCTTCTCTAATTCTCGCTCCCGACGGCGCTGTTGAGCGCGCATCTGTCCACGCAGAGCCTGCACTATAGCGAACTGAATGACATCTTCATCGACCCCTAATGCGCCGATTGACGCGCTCGACGGTCCCGCAACCACGTGCGATCCCTGGCTCGACTCCGCGCGATCGTCGGTCGGCTGCTTCTTGATCTTCTTCGCCTGGGTCCCCTCGGGCTTCTCTTGCCCTCCCTTCGCCGACTTCGACTTAGCGGTACGCTTGGCGGCGATCCCATCTAAAATCTCTTGAACCTCTGGCCGGAAGAAGATCGATCGCATCGGTTCGCCCTCCACCTCGACCACGCCCTTATCATCAAATCCGGACAACGAGGCGACGCTGGGATCAACGAGCTTCCTGAGCGTCGAACGGAGGGAATAATACCCGATTGGGACCGGCTCATCAACCGAGGCAAGCCCACCACGGATGCGATTGTCGTAGCGGAGGTAACGCTCGACATCCTTCCAATGGTACACATCGAACAGGCACCCAATCATCGGGGCAGGTACGTGGTCCACGATGAACTCCTTGTGGGTGGCGTTGAACTCTACACCCTTACAACAGGTGATAATCACCACGTCCTCGACATCCTGCGTTGTGCCAGGAAGCGGCATCAGGTCGGCATCGGCGGCGTTGGGCGCAGCTTCCTTTGGAGGTGATGCATTGGCGGCGGGGTCGGAGTCGACAGCGGTCGACGGTTCTTTGCGCTTGACAGCACCCCGACGCTTCGTAGGCGGGTCAGCGGTCGAGCCGGATGAAGGGGGCATAAACGATGGTGAGTGACGATTGCGTTCACAGAGGTGTAAAGTTACGGGATAGCTAACGGCGTCTGTATCACCTGCCCCGAGTTCGTTATATAGTCGACGCCCACACCTACCACCGGTCTCGTCGACACACAGGGTGATCCTGCCGGCGAAGATTTGCGGGTCATCTTCTTTGATGATTCCACTACCTTCCGGGAGTTCCGCGACACTGCTAACTCCTTGCTCATCAAGGTATAATTTCAAATGCTCCATACCGTCAATTTTGTCAAGGGGGAGCCAGGTGACGTCTCCAGCTTTCCACTTGATTTTGAACACGGATGACGTCCCTTGTCCCTTGTGAGCCAGGATGTGATCAACGGCCCATTCGGCCCCATCCTCCCCGAAATCAGCCACCTGTGTCTCTGCCCGCCCCGGGAAGAGACGATCATCATTGGCGACGTGTACGCGAAGAAGTGATGCGTGGAATACAGGATGAACTCCTCTCTGCAATAGTCGGGCGGGTAGATCAACCCGGAACGAATTGTTCTGGAAGTCCTTAGAAATCAGGTATGGCCCAATGTATTTGGGGATGAGCTTTCGTGCGCGGCCCTTCGGGAAATTGATATTCTTCATAGAGACGTAGACCATGTCCCCGACGACGAACGGAGCCGGCCGGCGTAGTCGGTTAGCGGCACGCGTCTGCTTCACGCGGGCCTCCAGGATAGCGTCATGCGCTGCCATGATCGCGGCGCGCATCCGTTGAGCGAACACGCGCACCCCGGGATATTCCAACTCGGCAGGTTGATCCCAAATCAAGGATCGAGGCATCCGTCCTGTATCCAGAAAGAATGGTGCGTAACCAGTGCTTTCCGACCTAGCCAAATTGATGGCGAATTCGATCCCTGGCAGCTTCGACACCCAGTCCTTCTGGTCCGGCCTCACGCATGCCCGAATCATCTGGGTTATCGTACGATTCGAGCGTTCCGTTGACCCGTCACTCTCTGGGTGGTAAGCGCTCGACATACTGAGTTTCACCCCCAACATTTTATTGAGGTGCTGCCAGAACGTGCTTGTAAACAGGACGTCGCGGTCGCTCACAATCCTCTTTGGTAAGCCATGCAATCGGTAGATCTCAGCAAAAACTAACTCGGCGATATCTTTAGCCCTATAGTCTTGCCGGCTCGGAACGAGATGCACACGGCCCGTCAGGAGATCAATCACTACCGTGATTTTGTCGTACGACGCGTCGCGATCCTTCGATACAGGCAAAGGACCGACGAAGTCGATGCCGATCGCCTCCCAGGGGATTGTAGGAACAGGGAGAGGGTTCAGGAGCCCATACGGCTTCTGATTATTAGGTTTACTTCGCCTACATGTAGTGCAGCTTTCACAGAATGCTCGGACGTCATGTACCATGTTCTTCCACCATACCGACGTCTTGAGGTACGCGACCGTCTTCATAGGGCCTAGGTGTGCCAAGATCGAGTGCGCACGTGCGATGACGATCTTGCGTGCCTTGCGTTCCCCGATCAAGCAATCAGGTATGCACAGCAAATTAATCCCCCCTTCCTTGAGGTACAGGACTTCGTTCTCGTACATAAAATTCTTGAACTGGTCCGGCGCCTCAAGTACTTAGCCTGAAGAAGGGGTCC